CAAAAAAAGAAATAATTATGTTGATGAAATAAAGTATGAGGGGGAGGAGATCTCCGAAAATGAGAAGTTAAGAGAAGCTGCCCTCGATTATTTCCAACAGCTTTACACTGAGGAATTTCCAATCAGACCAAAGCTGGATAACCTGCACTTTGACACCCTTGACACAGCCAACAGTGAAATTCTTTGAGCAAGAGTTTTCTGAGGATGAAATTGTTGCTGCACTTAAAAGTTGTGATGGAGATAAATCCCCTGGACCAGATGGCTTCAATCTTAGATTTTTCCAGACCTTCTAGTCTATCATGAAAGATGAGATGCTTGACCTTTTCAAAGAATTCCATCGTGATGATGAGTTTGTTAAATCCCTTAACTCTACATTGATTGTATTCATTCCAACGAAAGAGAGAGCTTATAGTTTCAAGGACTTCCGACCTATAAGTTTGAGCAGTAGTTTGTACAAATTAATTTCTAAGGTATTAGCCAAAAGGTTATCTAATGTTTTGCATTTAATCATTGGAGAAAATCAACACGCTTTTGTAAAGAGCAAACAAATTACTGATGACTTTATGATTGCCAATGAGATGGTGGATAATTTGATGGTTAATAAGAGATCCGGGGTGCTTTGTAAACTTGATATGGAGAAGGCTTTTGACCATTTCAACTGGGAATTCATTGATTATATGCTTAACAGATTTGGGTTCGGTGTCAAATGGAGGAAATGGATAAGAACTTGTATCTCAACTCCTAACTTTGCTGTTATGGTGAACGGTGGCCCCTGCTCCTTTTTCCGTTTCTCTAGAGGCCTTCGACAAGGTGATTCTCTCTCTCCTTTGCTCTTTATTATTGTCATAGAAGCTTTTAGTAAGCTACTTAAGAGAACTACCGAACTAAGGATGATAAAAGGCAGCACTTTGGTTTGTGGGGATAGAAAAATTGAAATATCTCATCTCTTTTTTGCTGATGATTCACTGATTTTCTGCAAACCCAAACTCAATTATCTTCTTCATCTAAGATGCATGCTTCTTTGCTTTCAAGCTGTTTCCGGGCTCAAAATAAATATAAATAAGACTGAACTGGTGTGTATTGGTTCTGAGGTAGATAGTGACCATTTTGCCACTGTTTTGGGCCGTCAAGAGAAAAAGTTCCCTACTAAATACTTAGGTTTCCCCTTGGGCCTAAAGTATAAAGATCACAAAGGGTAGGATTCTGTCATTGATTTGTGGATAAAAGTTTGGCAAACTGGAAGAGGGGGTTTCCTGTCCAAAGGTGGTAGGTTAACTCTTATAAAAAGCACACTTTCCAACCTTCCCATATACTTCCTTTCAGTGTTGTCCATCCCTAGCAAAGTAGCCAAGCGTTTGGAAGCTATACATAACATATTTTTATGGAGTGGTACGGAGAACAAAAGAGTGTATCATCTTCTTAAATGGGAAGAAGTTCAATTGCCGATGAAGTTGGGAGGTCTCGGCATAAGATCTATCGCTAACATCAATAAAGCTTTCCATGAAAAATTGATATGGAGATATTTAAATGAAGATAACAACCTTTGGAGGAAAGTTATAAAGATTAAATGGATGAAAAAAAACAATGATGGCAGATTTGTCTATCCTGAAAGACCTCACAGTACTAGTGCATGGAAAGGCATACTTGCCAATTATAATGAGCTGATTGCAAACACCCATTGGCAGGTGGGTCGGGGCACCAAGATTAATTTTTGGTATGATGTTTGGTGTGAAGAAAGAAACCTCAAATCTATTTTCCCCGCCATCTATGTTATAGCACAACGGAAAAATTTGCTAGTTTCTGAGGCTTTTGACAGTTCAGGTCACTGTTATGTTGCGGTTAGTAGGAACTTAAACGATTAGGAGCTAGAAGAATTTGAGAATTTATGATGGCCTATGTTCATTCGAGAGACACTCCTGACACTTTCATTTGGAAATTGAGTAAAAATGACAAGTTTTTCATCAACTCTTTTTATAATAAGATTGTTGGTTTTTGGGACCAGAACAACTTCGATCAAAAATTATCATTTCCGTTTAAAGTTATATGGAAAACAATGGCTCCCCCCAAGATTGCTTTCTTTTCATGGGAAGTGGCTAAGGAGAAAATTCTGACTTTGGATAATTTGATGAAAAGAGGTAGAACTTTGGTCAACAGGTGTTTCCTCTGCAAATGCAACGCTGAAAGCTGCAACCATATTCTGCTATGGTGCCCCTTCTCTACATATTTATGGAATATGATCTACAGCTTGATGGGTATTAATTAGGTAATGGCGGGCTCTATTCATAGAGAACTTTTGGTTTGGGAAAGTCTGCTTTCTAAGAACAAAGCTGTTTGCCTTATACCCCTCTCTATTTTTTGGATCTTGTGGAAAGAGAGAAACAACCGTATTTTTGAGGGTATTGAAAATACTCTTGTAAATATTATAGATAGATGGTTACATTATTTTGTCTCCTTACTCTTGAGTCACAATTTACTATCTTTAAAAAATATTGAAGCAATTGTTGATATACTAATTGACATGTAACATCCTTTTGTATATGGGGCGGTACCTCCTTGGTACCTTTTAATTCGAATTTTCTTTTATTTCAAAAAAAAAGTTAAGAATGTTAACCAATAGATGAGAAAGAGTCTTATTGGTGGTTGAGAGACTGTTTTAGCTGTTGAAAATAGTTAAGTTAGCAGATATAGGTGGTCCATTAGGTTTGGAGAACTTTAGAAGCCTTTGGCTTTCAAAAGTAAGATTTTTAGGATAGGTGTAGGATAAGTAGGTGGAGTAGGATAGAGTAGAAGCAGAGGTCGACTTTGGAGGATGCAAAAATCCAAAATAAAGTTGGAGGAGAGATGCTGACTATCAATTAAAATAATCAAAGTCTGGAACCACTAATCTCTAGTTTTTTTTTTAAATAAAAAGTGTAAATATATATTAACAGGGTACCAATGGGGGGTACAACCCATTTACAAATTTACAAAGTTGTTAAGATGTCCATAACATCCCCAAAATCTTCATCTCTAATGATATCATGACCGAAAACAATGTTTCTAAAATAATTAAATCATAACTCTGTTAGTCTATTAGTATCCATCTCTATACCATCAAACGCTCTCGTATTCCTTTCTTTTCAAATGACTCAGAAAAAAGGTTAAAGGGATGATCTTAAGGCTAATCCCGTTCCAAGCCCATATCTCATCAAAAACCAAGCCTGAAATGACCCAATTGATCCTTAGCAGTCTATAAATCTAGCAGCATAGTTCATAGACAACCTGGCAGTGAAGAAGAAAATTACAGCATGATTCTTCAGCCCTCTTACACATAAAACACCCATTAACCACAATCTGTCCTCTAGTCTTAAGCTTATCAAGTGTCAATATACTTTCTCTACTAGCCTCCCACGCGAAGAAAGCAATTCTAGGCAGAACTCTGAATTTCCAAACCTATCTTGAAGGGAAGAGGGGTGTGTTATCCTGCCCAGCTCCATATCCTATTTCTAAAAATGCGTTTCATCAGTTCAGAAATATCAAATGCAGAAAAAAAGGGTTTGTCTATTCTGTCCAAAAAAAGAGGGGAATGCGCATTTGCTTGAAACAGTTCCCAAGTAACTGTTTTACGTCTTTGAGGACGCATGGATCCTTTTGATTATGTCTCGACGAAAATCTGATTGTTGTGAATAACGTATCAAAGCTACTTCGTCTCTTTCATCAGAATTATTAGTATCTTTGATGTTAGTATAAATATCGTTATTCTGTTGGTTATCAGTAAAAATCACTACATGTTTGGCTTTTCTTGAACGAATTTCAGGATCCGCTGTCACGTTTTCTTCATTTTCCCCCTCCAGTTGTTCTAAATCGTCGATTAATTTGTATGACCAACGAGGAACTTTTTTACTGATTTCTTTTATTCCAACAGAATTCGTTTGATCATTGGGATTAGTTAGAACCACATCGAATAAAAAGAATAAAAATTGAATTTTATTTTTTCGATTTTTTGAATCAACTTGCTCTTGTTGGTGTTCTGGAAATAAAGAAAGTCTTTTTTCTATTGATAATGATTTTCTATTAAGTGTATCTATTTCTATTGTCTGTTCAAATTCGTGATAATCAGTATTAAGAAGTATACTATGAATCTTATTTATCAAAACCGTTCCTATGTTATTTTTTATATAAGTTTCAGGTAGTGAAAGAAAATTTATGATTCTTCCACGAT